ATGAGAGGTGTGTTTAAATCCTAAACATTAAGCCTTCTTTTATAGGGGGAAAATCCTCCAACTATTGCTAACCCACCGATGTGGGAATCTGAAATTTTGACATTTCAACAGTTAGTAGATTTGACATCTCTATGAATTATTGGCATCGATGCAGATGAATGAAGGTAAGCAAGTGAACTTGCTGTCTCTGCAGCTATTCGTAGTCGATTTTGCAAAGACATACATGGCTCTCCATTTTGATTGTGGATATGCTCATAAAGAGTTCCATGAGAAACATATTCATAAACTAGTAAAGGCACCTCAGCTTCCAAACAGCAGCCAAAGAGTCTCACTACATTTCTGTGGTTGACTTGAGTAAGAATAAGCACCTCATTGATGAACTGTTCAATTTGATCCTCGTCCACAAACTTAAATTTTTTAATTGCAACTACGCGATTATCAGGCAAAATACCTTTATAGACAATTCCATTTCCACCACGACCAAGAATTCTATCATTGGCATAGTTGTTCGTCGCCTTCTTCAAATCCTCAACTGTAAAAATTTTGGCTGCTTCCACGCAACCCTTTTTAGAGGAGATTTGTTGTTTCAAGAGTAAACCACCATTTTGTTGGAAGAACTTCTCCCTAAGTTTAATGAGTTTTCGTCTCTTGATACTGAAATAGAGCAAAATTGTCCCAACCAGTAGGGATATAAAGCCAACTCCCATACCTGTGTTTATAACAACAAAATTTGAGCCCCTCCTCATTTGAATTAGAAAGAGCTGGATTTTAAAGGGATCAAGGGCCTTCATAATCAGGAGGGAAGCCTGAAGGTGATCCTTGGCGTAACTGGTAAAGTTGCTGCCATGTGACCAAAAGGTCAGGGGTTCGAGCCGTGAAAATAACCTCTCACAGAAATGCAAGGTACGACTGTTTACAATAAATCCTTGTGGTCTGGCCCTTCTCCGAACCCCGCGCATTAGCGAGAGCTTGGTGCACCGGACTGTGCTTTTAAGGGGAGCCATAATCAGAGAGAAATGATGTGAATTCTTTATACTTTAATAAAATATACTTATTTACCACTTCTGTGTTTTTTTAAGCAATGACTTTTTCAACAGTAAGTAAACAGGGCCTCTGTTTATTGTAATAACAGAAAAGATTCCTATTCTTATGGCTCATATTGACAAGTTGTAAACATACTACTTTTAGAGTTATAAGCTGTACTTTCACGTAGTGATTTCACTAGATAAGCGCTTACTTTTATGTAATTCCACTCAAGTATGTTTATAATGGATAATTATGATCCTTGTTATCCTACTCAACTTTCTAGCTGACTGTAGAAGATTAGATCAGAATTATCATACATATATATGGTGCAAAGTTACCCCATTCCTCATATATGATACATGGTGCATGTATCACAAACGAAATACTATTCTAGTTCCGAAAACTCAAGTTGGTTTTAGATGAAAACCGAAAAACTACAGAAAGGAGTAAACATTTTGTTATTTAAGCTGTGGCATCAGTTTGCATGTCTCTGTTTCTCTCGTTTCCCTTTTACCTTTTTTTTTTTTTTTACAATGATTTGTTTGGCGTGTTTAAAAATTAGTGATATCTTTAACTCCATCATGTGTAATACTTAAAAGATTAAGTTCTATGTATTGATGGTATGAAGAACAATATTTACACAATTAGGTTACTTGTAAAGTAATTATAAGTAAATTCTACAATAAGCATCAACTAGTAACGCAGAAACAAGTTCAATTTATGAGAAACTTACCAACAGAAAACTTGATCCATGGGAACTCAGAGTTCGAGCTCGGCGCCATACAGCCACGACCATTCTTTTTGCCATCACCGGTGTATCCTTCAGGACAGGAACAATTGTAACTCCCCAGCGTGTTTATGCAAATGTGTTCACACGAATTGGCATTTGAATCTATACATTCATCAATATCTGACATGCAAAACAGAATGGCGCTTTGTTTTTTTTCAGCGAAATAAAATCCCAATGTAATTCACACTTTTCTTATAGTATGCCATTATCCTAATAGCAAAATAAAGAAATCAAGTTACCTTGGCAGCCTGGACTAATGTATGGATTGCCTTCATATCCGGAGTTACAACTGCACCTATAACCACCAAGACTTGTGTTGGAATTAACACACTGGCTATTCTCCAGGCAAGCATAATCGGTTCGGTTCTGTGCTTCAAGACAAGTAAGATTTCCAATGGCCCAATCTAGCACGATCGGGACACTATTAAAAATCCTTTGTGTAAACTTAACATCATCATCAGTAAGATCCTCAGCGCCCCTGAATTGGAAGCGACTCGCCTCACCAAGAAACGCATAGCCACATCGATTGAAAGACCAAACTTGTGTGTGGTTATCCATGCTTAGGATTGATGCATCAAAGTATTTCAATCCCTTTGGTATTTCTATTTGACCGCAACCAGTTCCCATACATCTTCCTTCAAAAATAATATCGCTTGAACTAGTACAGAGAGAGAAACAGCCATTAGCATAGTTGAGTCCGATCATTACAGCAGCATCATCATAACCAACAACAGAGAATTTGTTAAGGGCTGAGAAAGTGTAAGGAGTAGTTTTTCCTAAAGTCATCCATGCAGGATCATCAGGGAGTTGAGGTAGTCCTTCGCGTGAGTAACACCTCCGAGCTACAATACTTGATATGCGCATTTCAGTGTCGGATATTTCGTAGATAGTAATGTTCCCTATGAGGGGTTTTGGAGAACCATTTGAAGTGTTGCAGTCGATCTCAAACCCGGGGTCTAAGGCACAACCAGATCCTATGCCAATCCCAAATGGGTATGGAACTGTAAGATTTCCACACTGTTTTGGGCATCCTGGTTTCGTGATATTGCGGTCTTTGGTTATGTTGTAATTGTTGGGTTGAGAGGTGGTGTTAGTGGTGGTTTGAGCGGTGGCTAATGTCAAGATTAGCACATAGGTACAGAAAGAAAAATGCAGAGCAACTTGCCTATGCTTCATGGTTTTAGAGGATATGTTACAGAATGTTTGAGTAAAGCTTTCCATATATAGAACTAAGTTGAAAGACTTTAGTAAGACTTTAATAATTACTGATCAACTAATAATAATTACAACCTTCATCCCAATTTATTTGATACATTTTTGGTTTTAGTCGCAAAAAAAAAAAATATTTCTTTATATTCAGTAACAATTTACAACTTTAAACTTCTTATTTTTCCTAACAAGTGAAATAGTTTATAATCATAAAAATATTTATAATTTATTTTAGACCACAATTTTTTTTTTTTTTTTAAACTTAGTGTCTAGTTAAATACATTTACATAAATTGGCACAATGGGAGTAGTACTTGTTTTTTTTCTTTTTTTCCTGATTTTTGCGAATGCCAGAGAGACGGGCCTAGACTACAATGTCTACGTACGACGTTGACAGTAGTACTAAGTTTATCATCTACAACTAATAATAACAATAATAATAATAATAATAATAATAATAATAATAATAATAATAATAATAATAATAATAATAATAATAATAATAATAATAAAGACTTTGACAAAATCAACAAAGACTCATTTCTTTCTATCTGCAATGCAGACACAAACAATTAAGACATCTTTCACAAACGATTAAGAAACCTTACCGGAGAGGACTATTCCTCACCTTGATTCTTCCATTCACCATAGCTTTAGATCTCGTCTGTATCGGATTATATATTAAGTCGTTATTTCTAAATTTAAATGATTAAGATCGTTATTTTTACCATTCCAATGTTGTAATATATCTTTATTTCAATTTAAAACTATGGATATAATAGCATTTTTAGTCCCCAGTTATTGCTGAATTCTGATTTTAGTTGTTATGGTATTTGCGTAAGTATATTTAACATTTGTTAATTCAAATTTATGAGTATACGGTCAAAATCATATGCCTCCGATTTATAAGCTCGAGGTTTCGTCCTAGGCCGAGTCCAGGCGAGGTCGAATTCGAAATTGGTGGACCAGACTCGAGCTCAAAGACAGAGTGCAATGCTCGGAGGTAGGAGTTCGAGGAATACCGAGACCAAGTGTACTCGACCCCGAAATAGTACCATTATGGGTTTGTAACAGAATGAGCTAGATTCCTGCCACGTCCCCAATATCATGGCGCAAATCCCGGAAGAAGATTGTACGATTCCGTATTAGGCGGTTAGACAGCCGTACCAAAAATATTCCTTACTGTAAATAGAAATATACCTTATTTAGGGATTCCCCTATTATATAAAGGGTACCCCAATCATTTGTAACATCATCTAATCATTGAACAAAGAACATACTCTGTACATTTTGCCTACTGTTCATCATAATTGTCCTTTAGCTCTACTGTTCTTACTTTACTTTTCTTACCTAATTATTATTATTGCTCTAAGCCCACCTCGAGGTCACTAAGCTCGAGGTCACCGCTGTCAAGTAACATTTGTTTGAGTCACTTCTATCTTTCATTTCTACTTCATATTTCTTGATTATTAATTGGTATTGAAGTCAATCACATATCTTTAAAACCACTAATCAAATTTAATTGTTACTCGTATTTTCGAGGTAAACAGTTTGGCGCCCACCGTGGGGCTAAAGATAATAGTAATTATTTCTTTACGGATTCTCATTACACACGTTGTTTTTACGCTTTTTCTTGTCAAGATTTTTTGATTCTCAGGCTGAAACATGTGTTAGCTCACAAAATGCACCCATTCATGACAACAAAGGTCTTGGAAAAAACAGCAACGCAGGGATCGATGTACCACCGATAAACCAAGGGAAAATGCCAAATGTGGAAACCAGAATAAGATTGTACGATTCCGTACTAGGCGGTTAGACAACTATACAAAGAATATTTCTTACTGTAAATTGAAATATACCTTATTTAGGGATTCCCTTATTATATAAAGGGGACCCCAATCATTTGTAACATCATCTAATCATTGAGCAAAGAATATACTCTCTACCTTTTGCCTATTGTTCATCAGAATTATCCTTTAGCTCTACTGTTCTTACTTTACTTTTCTTACCTAATTATTCTTATTTCTCTAAGCCCATCTCGAGGTCACTAATCTCGAGGTCACTGCTGTCAAGTAACATTGGTTTGATTCACTTCTATCTTTCATTTCTACTTCATATTTCTTGATTATTAATTGGTATTGAAGTAAATCACATATCTTTAAAACCACTAATCAAATTTAATTGTTACTCGTATTTTCGAGGTAAGCAGTTTGGCGCTCACCGTAGGGCTAAAGATAATAATAATTATTTCTTTATTGATTCTCATTACACACGTTATTTTTACGCTTTTTCTTGTCAAGATTATTTAATTCTCAGACTGAAACATGTCTAGCTCACAAAACGCACCCATTCATGACAACGAAGGTCTTGGAGAAAACAGCAACACAGGGGTCAATGTACCACCGATAAACCTAGGGAAAGTGCCAAATGTAGAACCCGTTGATGTTAGTTAGCACATTGTTTTGAATGCGGATCTATGCACGAACCCCGAAGGAAATATACACGGAGAAGCCCGGTCCGGTTGCCAAAGAACGCAAGGAATAAGAGATGGGGAAATCAGACTCCAAGTGATATTTGAGATGCTGCAAGCTCAGCAAGTCGCCATCGTGCCACTTCAGAGTCAGAATAAGACTCCGAATACAGCCTAACCAGTAAACACTCGGCGTATTGAACCATCGCTAGAAAGGCCCGATAAAAGTGGCTCGGGGACTGATCCCACAATTATAAGAATGCTTGAGGAGCTTACCAAGAGGATCGAGTCCGGAGAAATGAAAATTGAAGACAATGACAAAAAGGTGGAGACTTACAACTCCCGTGTTGATCAAATACCGCGGGCACCTACGATCTTGAAAGGTTTAGATGCCAAAAAGTTCATACAAAAACCATTCCCCCCGAGTTTGGCTCTGATGCCTATTTCCAAGAAGTTTTGCATGCCCGATATACCCAATTATAACGATACAACCAACCCTAACGAGTACATTAATTCATACACTTGTGGGATCAAAGGAAATGACTTGAATGACGGTGAAATTGGATCAGATTTGTTGAAAAGGTTTGGTAAAACACTATCGAAAGGAGCTATGATTTGGTATGATAGCTTAGCTTTTAACTCTATTAATTTGTTTGCTATGTTAGCAGACGCCTTTGCGAAAGCGCACCTCGGGGCCATAATGGTGGCCACGAGAAAATCGGACGTCTTCAAGATAAAGCAGAGGAACGATGAGATGTTGAGAGAATTCGTGTCTAGGTTCCAGATAGAGCAAATGGAGTTACCACCGGTCTCGGGCCTTTATGCAGGGTTTGCATGAAAGGAGCTCGATTGCATCTTGACAATTAAAGTAGAACTTAATTGAGTATCCAACTATGACTTGGTCGGATGTGCACAATCGTTACCAGTCAAAAATCAGGGTCGAGGACGACCAGTTGGGAGCCCCCTCGGNGGAGAATCAAAGACACCAAGTGGCCAGGCTTATACAGACCGATCCTTCTCAAAGAAACCCGAATTTGATGTGCAAGTATCATGGCACACATAATCATCGAACAGAAGATTGCAGACAACTAAGGGAAGAAGTGGCTCATTTATTCAATGAGGGCCACCTTCGAGAATTCCTAAGTGATCGGGCTAAGAATCACTTCAGGGAGAGAGGTGCAAGGAAAAATGAACAAGAAGAACCACAACATGTAATCCACATGATCATTGGCAGAGCTGATGTCCCTCAACGACTTGTATTCAAACCCACCAAAGTATCAATCACCAGAGCAAAATGGACTTGGAGCTATATGTCCGAGGACGTCTTATCATTCTATGACGAGGAAGCAAAAGGCATATCTCAGCCTCACAACGAAGCACTGGTAATCTCTATCCTTTTAAATAAAATTCAAGTTAAAAGTGTTTTAATGGATCTAGGTAGCTCTGCAAACATAATCAGATCGAAGGTCGTGGAATAACTCGTCCTGCAAGATCAGATTGTACCTGCATCTCGGGTCCTAAATGGCTTCAACATGGGAAGTGAAACAACAAAGGTTGAGATTATCCTGCCAGCAAACGTAGCCGGGACTATACAAGATACAAAGTTCTATGTCATCGAAGGTAACATGAGGTACAATGCGCTCATCGTGAGACCATGGATACACAACATGAGAGCAGTGCCTTCAATTCTTCATCAGATGATGAATTTCCCAACAAAGGAAAGGGTGAACAGTCTACGGAGAGCAACATACTACAAATAAGATGTTTGCGATCGAGGAAGTGGTGCCGATACTAGAGCCTTCGACCTCGGGGAAATCAAGAACCGGGGGTAAACAGGCGGCCAAATACCAATCACCACCTCTAGCCTTGATGGAATCAAAGCAACAGGTAATCGAAGACGAAGATGAGGATCTCCTTACTCCTCAAACATTCGTCGTTCCCAAAGAAACCGATGCAACCAAATCAACTATCGAGGAGCTAAAGCATGTCATTTTGATAGAATACATACCCGAGAAAAAGGTATACCTAGGAATGGGATTGGCCCCCGAACTCAGGAAAAAACTCATTCAATTTCTTATTGATAATATGGATTGTTTTGCTTGGTCCCATTTAGATATGACAGGGATTCCACCGGAAAACACCACGCATCGGCTAAGTACCGATCCCAGGTTTAGACCGGTGAACCAAAAAATGAGGCCTCAGTCCGAGGTAAAGCATGCTTTCATAAAAGATGAGGTAACCGAACTTCTTAAAATAGGATCTATACGGGAGGTAAAGTACCCCAAGTGGTTAGCCAATATATAATTCCTAAAAATGGAAACAAACTTAGAATGTGTGTAGACTGTAAGGACTTGAACAAAGCATGTCCAAAGGATTCTTTCCCACTGCCCAACATCGATATTATGATGGATGCCACAGCCGGCCACGAGATCCTAACTTTTCTCAACTCCTACTCCAGGTACAATCTGATTTAGATGAACCCAAGGGACCAGGAAAAG